TACTGTATATTGGGAATTGGTGAACATGTAGATTATACTGACAGTTACTGTATATTGGGAATTGGTGAACATGTAGATTATACTGACAGCTACTGTATACTGAGAATGAGTGAACATGTATTATATAGATTGTGGATTGTACAGTACTGTACACCTTAAATTATCCACATTTCGTATAGCTGAACATCAAATGGACGTCGATGAAAATTATTCAAAAATATGTTTTTGTTTGTTATACATTGTAACAAGTGTATTGCCGTCAAAAGTACAGGTGACACAAGAGTGTTAGTCAAAACTACATTCCCTCGGAGCATCCCAACACCGAGGGAATATAGTGTTGACTGTTGCCTGAAAATGAGAATAACTGCATACTGACAGGACAACCATTACTGGGAATAAGTGGGTATCAACATAAAATTGACAGACTACAGTTTATTATATCGAAAGCTATACCGTAAACGTCGATAAGGTGAGATTGTACGTTACGTCATGGAGCTACACTACACGGCAAATGACCATGTGCAGTATACGAACAGAACGACATTATACACCGTGCATTTCTATTTCAAAATACGTTACCACAGTCATTATAATGCATATTTCAACCCTACTTGGCTCTTTACATACGTAAAATAAAGAACGTGTTATTGGTTCTTACCACGGTCTTTGGGGTTCCAACTGCTACTTGCGTTGTTTGTCTTGAGATAATACTGTATCCTTTATAAACTACTACGTTTGTGTCTCCGGTTCCAGATTCTATGGCCATGGCGGTGGATGCTCTATCTCAGGACTGGTCGGGAATGTACGCGTATGCGTTTCCTCCCTTCAATCTGGTGGGCAGGGTGTTGGAGAAGATTCTTCTACACCCTTGTACTGTGTTGCTGGTTGCACTGCTCTGGCCTCGACAACCTTGGTTTCCTCTGTTGCTTCGGCTTTCCGTGGACTTCCCACGCAGCATCCCACCCCTGTGGGATCTGCTGTCTGAACCGAGGTCCCGGCAGTTCTACTCGGGACCAGAACGGCTCCACCTTCACGGTTGGATGCTATCTCGGGAAGGCTCACTCAGTCAGGCTTTTCTCGAGAAGTTGCAACTCGCATCGCAGAATCACTTAGACCTTCGTCTTCCGCCGTCTACCAATCTCGATGGTCCGCCTTCGGTGATTGGTGTGTCCGACGGTCGATGTTGTAGCCGACTTTCTTTTGTCTCTGTTCCAGGGCAAAGGTCGGTCTCCGGGAACTAATGCAGGCTATCGTTCAGCCATTGGTAGTGTGCTGGCTTTCCAATGGTAGCAAGTATGTGGGCTCGGACGCTTCATTGTCTGCTCTCATTAGAGGCTTCTTTATTGAGAAGCCTCGTTCACGGCAATTGGTCCCTAGGTGGAATTTAGCACTTGTGATAGATTCCTTGTTAAGGGCGCTTTTCGAGCCCCCCCCCCCCCCCCCCCAGTCGACGGATCGGAAGTTTCTCACTTTCAAGGGGGATCTTTATTGTACGTATGTAAAGAGGCAAGTAGGGTTGACATATACATAATAATGACTGTGGTAAGTATTTATAATAGAAATAGGTTTCACAAGAGAAACCTCAATTTTCTGCGAATTCATCATAAGGGCCATCAGTACACATCTTAATGTACAGATTATCTGAATGGTGAAAGTATAGTAATGATTTTAACGGTGATTAGTGAATTACAAATTATGTATGTAAAGTAACTAATGTATAGATATATATATATAATAACAATGTACATAAAAAAAAGCTGAACAACACGTCTTTAGTGCTTTCATCTCATCGGAGTTGAAGGAAAAGGAAAAGATGATCATATTATTACAAAAATCTATACCCCGACACGATTTCCCAACATCCGGTTACCCCATCGTACCCGTATCCATCTGATAGTGTGTTTTATGCATAATATGTGTTAGAGATATTTCCCTTAATTAACGTGTATGGGAAAATATATAGCTACAGGGCCAAGTAAGTTGTGAAAACTTGTGCCTAATAATTTTAATTAATATTATTTGATAAGATACGTTTTAATGAACGTGTATTTGTTAACGACGTCAATGCATTAATATCTCAGTAGTGTTTCGCCAAGAGTTAACTAAGCTTATACTGCTAAACTTCTTCATGAAAGGGTGTCGTATGCATTTAACACAGTGAAGCGTACGTCTTTAAATACGATTCCCACCATCGCTATTGCGCCGTGAATGAGGATGGTTTGTGTGGTAATATATAATGTGAAATAACACACTGGTGTAAAACGGCCGATCAATTAATTCATTAATTGACGTATATCAGTGTGATTAAGTGTGTAATATATAAAATGATTGAAATGACTTACCTAGTTTTGGAGGGACGTCCGGACAATCGGGTAAGGGGCTCCGAGAGGTGTAGGCTTTTGTCAAAGGATGTATAGTCCCATTTAACTGCTGAAGCATGTGTTCTACTTCGTGTGACACATTTTTACTATAAATCAACAAGTTTCTCATTCTTTTGTTGATACCAAAGACACCAAAGTAATCGAACAACATATATATCACAAGGTTTAATGTTGTGAAAACCAGGACGGCAGCTATACATCTTTTAAATATGCCGTTTCGTGAACATTTTAAACTTTTAATATTTTTCTCCATTCCTCGAGTTCCACTCCTTTCCGGATCCAAATCGTCTGTAAGAAGGAGAAAATATAAAACAGACTTAGTAGAGTCGTTTTCACCCGTCTTGATCCTGTCAGGAACATACTTAACCGCCTGACTTGTCACGTGATCTGGTAAGAACGAAATGACTATGTTCAGAGAGACTTATATAATTACCTATGTGTAGTTTAAATGACGATGCGGTCATTTCTTTTTCATTTTTTTTTTGATTCACCAGCATGTTACAAATTAACAAATCGTGACTTCTCGTAGGAGAGCTTCCATACCCCTCACTCTCTTTCATGGCTTCCATACCCCTCACTCTCTTTCATGGCTTCCATACCCCTCACTCTCTTTCATAAACGATCGATTTATATTTTTTTTTATATTATTCACAAGTATTTGTTTTTGATTTTTTATCAGGCCTGCTTATATTTTGTATGCTCTCCTCGCTCACCATATCACTCCAGCTACGATGCGGTAATTAAGTTATCCATTCATCGACTGCATTAGCCACATTTAGTAACATGTGTCATTTTAAATTTGCAATTATTAATTGGTTCCCGCTATCGTGTTCAATCAATAAACACATTATAAACAGAATTATGAACCAGGTACAGATGTAAATAGCGCCACATGTGTTATATAAAAATATTTACATTTTCTTTGTACAGCCCTTAGCTAAAACTACTTCGCAACATGGTTTTATAAACTGATAACATCAAGAACAATTACACCTTAAAGTTTTCCAATTGCTTCGAGATACACTCTTTAGGCTAAACGTAACGCAGTTACGTTGCAGCCTTTTGTCAACGCCTCTGAAGCCTGTGTACAACTACAACCCTAGCATTCTTATTGGTCTTAATCTTCCAACAAGTTACTAACACCACCTGGTGTTGAAATGTGTAAACGGTCTGTCATAAAGGTATTGCCGCCATTACTCAAAATGGTTTCTGCATACATACAATTTCTGCGAGACAAACAATAAAAATAAACAAGAAGCTTACCCTATCAAAAAATTCACGCATTTCTGACACTTTTCAGATTGACACACACATCAAACATGAACTGACATTGCTCTAGTTTACATTAATTCTCCGATACGTGACAATATGGCGGGGCGAACTGGATTATGGGATGACTGACTTCGAAGTCCATAGTGTTGATTTACCGGAAAATTCAAACTGTTGATTTTTGTTTAAAAAAAATGAGGAATGGTATATCAATCATCAAAAAAGTCATCTCAATATATATGCAAGACAACACACTTGTTTTTTTCTAACGAATCAGAAAGCACGAGTGTATTGCGCGGACGAATATATATACGCCCGCGCAATAAATGAGTGCTTTCTTATTCGTTAGAAAAACACAAGTGTGTGTTCTTGCTTTTGTCACATACCTTCCGTATTAGGTAGAAATCGATACAAAGATTTTATAACTTCGATATTTTTTGTAAATACCGGGAACTTTTCAGTTCTCCATGACAAGGGGATTCCCATAAAAAGTAGTTCCGGCTAGTAGGTAACTACAACATTCCGTATTGCACATGTGCAATACAGAACGTTGTATTTCATGGTCTGAAAATTGCTTGTATTACTATAACAAGATTCAACAGGTATGTGATAAAATCTTATATCCCACATCACATAATCCTCCACACTTTGAATCACTTGTGATACAAACTTAGCACTGTCGAGTCGCAAGTCGGTAAAACCAAGATTGTCATAATGGATTTGAAACAGTTAGTTATTATTTGAATATAATTTTCATTTGTCAATATCGATGCATAACTAAATTTAAAAAATCTTCGGATATTAGAAAAAAAACAGAGCTTCCAAAATAATGGTAAAATCGACTATCAACTGCTCGCATTTTACGCCTTAGAAAAGATCGTTTCAGACCGTAAGTAAGCACAACCATATGTGATGTCTGTAATTGAATACTGTGAGAATGCATTTTTCAATAGCAAACATTTTTTCAAAATGATGGAGAAGTGAGGATTTAGACGTTTCACTTGCACTATGCACGCATGGCCGCCATGACACTATTTACATTGATTGATCACACAGAAAATATGTCTTTTAATCAACTTTACGGAGCAAGGAATCTCTGCACTTATACTTATATAGAATTTTGAGTCAGCAAGTATTTATTTCAATGTGTTGAATGATAACATTCTAGTGTACCTTGTACATTCAGTAATTTGCACGTCGGCTTTGCATGCATATCGGACCCACGTGCGCAACAGTCGCCATGACACTTGTCTATTCGAAGAAAAAACAACCCATTCTGTGTATTTGCACTTAGTTCTGTATTAAATAACATATTGAAAAAAAATCAACAGTTAATACAGCTTATATCTATAGAACACTTAATACCACAAAATGGATAGTATTTTATGCACCCTTTAAAGTGTACCCAGAATGATTTGCAATATTAAGTTTGAAAATACACCATTTCATAAAACAGAAAGTGGAGAAAGCGCGAACGCCATAGCGACTTTCGTTTCAGAGAAATCACAATGTTTCTTGAAATCTCAACTGTGGCCCTACAGCGATGACCCCGTTTCGGTGTCCCAGACATGTGACATCACAAGTTCAACTCGGTCAACTCAACCCCATTATATTTTACCAAAGAAGAGCGATATGTGCCGTGATATATGCGGCCTGTCATGTGATTAACAACGTTTTTATCTTCCTTTTATTGTGATTATACATGTTTAAAAACGACAAGTTTACATATCCATAGACGTTTATTTTAACGCTGAAGTGTTGTGGAAGGAGCTCGTATCGAGGAGGAATAAAACACGTGTTGTGTATGGATGTCGGAACACGCATGCAGATAGTGTCTCGTTTCCACGCATTTCCCTTGAACTTGTCAGTGTTTAGAAACAATGCGTACAGTTTGTTGAAAGTGGGAAAAACTCACGAAATGTTCCTATTGTGTTCAAAACACTTTTTGAGGACAGCTCATATTCTATAAAAACGAATCAAGTCGTTCCGGCCTCTCCCGGTCCAACATCCTACTCGTTCACTCCGGCCCCTAAAAAATGTGATGGCTGTTTTCTTCAACGACATACATAGATCTACTGGAACATATATAGTTTGAATATATTTTAAATGTAAAACAAATGAACTACGCCTTTCATTTTATCAAGGATCTTTATGTAATATAAGCTGGGAGCCATGAAATACTACAGACTTGTATATGTCTAATATATGTTCGTGGAAGTACGAAAAGTATTTTTTCAGCAAACGCCTTTGAAATCTCGTACTCGGGGAAGGGGGATGCTCATACTGGTCAGCAGAAACATTTAAAATGTTTATAAAATGTTGTTCTATTGTTTGTAAATTTCATTTGAAATCCCCCACTTTAATATCTTATTATAATGACTTGTATGATCAGACTTAGCTTGATGGTGCCCTTAAAGCTTAAAGAGTTTAGCCTTTCAGAATTTTCAGTACTTTGATTTTTATTAGTGTTTGTTTACAATTCAAAAGGAAAACATAGAAAGTTATTGCTACAATGTAGTAGGGTCTATCATATGTAGGTATGTAGTACAGGCTAGTAGGGTCTATAATATGTAGGTTTTTAGTAAGGGCTAGTAGGGTCTATAATATGTAGGTTTTTAGTAAAGGCTAGTAGGGTCTATAATATGTAGGTATTTAGTAAAGGCTAGTAGGGTCTATCATATGTAGGTATGTAGTAACGTCTAGTAGGGTCTATCATATGTAGGTATGTAGTAAAGGCTAGAAGGGTCTATCATATGAAGGTATGTAGTAAAGGCTAGTAGCGTCTATCAGATGTAGGTATGTAGTACAGGCTAGTAGGGTCCATAATGTGTAGGTATGTAGTAAAGGCTAGTAGGGTCTATCATATGTAGGTATGAGGTATAGGCTAGTATGGTCTATCATATGTAGGTATGTAGTATATGCTAGTAGGGTCTATCATATGTAGGTATGTAGTAAAGGCTAGTAGGGTCTATCATATGTAGGTGACTATGTAATATATGCTAGTAGGGTCTATCATATGTAGGTATGTAGTAAAGGCTAGTAGGGTCTATAATATGTAGGTATGTAATAAAGGATAGTAGGGTATATCAGATGTATAGGTATGTAGTATAGTCTAGTAGGGTCTTTCATATGTAGGTATGTAGTATAGGGAAAATCTACCCCAGGGTGTAGTAATTGAGTCAGAACCGATGCATTTAAACAAAAGTATGATGTTATGCTACACCGTTCCTTTCAAAAAATTCCCAAGAAGCGCTACCATACATCATGGGATATGTTGGGACGGAACTGTGTTGTATACCCTCATACACAGTACATCTGTAGATATACGCCGTAGGGGCTTTGAGGACATGTAATGTACATGTTCAAACGCTGCATTTCAATCTTTATTTGCAAAATCTTTACGAACGTAAAAGACTCTTCTTTATATTGTACTTTTATCCATTATATACTTAAAAGGAGTGACTCGAACACAGTGGTTCTTCCTTAGATCCTAATTTTAATGCAGAGAGTTGTTGACATGTTTCGACTCGAAAAGAGCCGTCAGTGATTATTATCCATTATGTGTATCATGCCAATATTTACACCTTGGGAACAATCAACCATAAAAAAAGAGATGATGATTTTGCTTAAAGCTATTTAGTTCAATTCTAGTTTTTCAAACTTACAACAGTCACGTGGTAATACTTCTGCTGGTAACCTATTTATATTTTTTTTCCCCACTGGGCTTTGTTCTGTAAATATACTGTCAATATGACAAATAGTGTTTTAGTAACATTTCCCAGGTTTAGGTACTGTCAATATGACATATATGATTTAGTAACATTTCTAAGGTATCTAATACTTTCGATATCAGAGCTATGACTGTTTAGTAACAAGAGGTATTCTTGTTTAGTTACATATACATCCCTAGGTCTATGAACTCTCAATATACCTCAATTATCTAAATATTTATTATTATATACTTGAAACAGGAGATATAGTATTGTTACAACCCAACTATATCCTCTTTAGAGTTTATCTTGTTTAGTTACATGTACCTCCCCAGGTCTTTGTACTGTCAGTGTCATACTAAACATCACTATGACTGTTCCCATGTCCTTGTTTAGTTACATGTACCTCCCCAGGTCTTTGTACTGTCAGTGTCATACTAAACATCACTATGACTGTTCCCATGTCCTTGTTTAGTTACATGTACCTCCCCAGGTCTTTGTACTGTCAGTGTCATACTAAACATCACTATGACTGTTCCCATGTCCTTGTTTAGTTACATGTACCTCCCCAGGTCTTTGTACTGTCAGTGTCATACTAAACATCACTATGACTGTTCCCATGTCCTTGTTTAGTTACATGTACCTCCCCAGGTCTTTGTACTGTCAGTGTCATACTAAACATCACTATGACTGTTCCCATGTCCTTGTTTAGTTACATGTACCTCCCCAGGTCTTTGTACTGTCAGTGTCATACTAAACATCACTATGACTGTTCCCATGTCCTTGTTTAGTTACATGTACCTCCCCAGGTCTTTGTACTGTCAGTGTCATACTAAACATCACTATGACTGTTCCCATGTCCTTGTTTAGTTACATGTACCTCCCCAGGTCTGTGTACTGTCAGTGTCATACTAAACATCACTATGACAGTACTGTTCCCATGTCCTTGTTTGGCTTGTTATTGTGATACACATACTTTTGGTAATATTATCCGCCTTGTCTATATTGTAATGGTTAGAAACATCACTGGGTCAATAGCATTTCTCTGGTCTGTGTTGTTATTGTGGTTTCTGTTTTTATCACTATTTCAAATTTCTTTCTTTAGTTTTTATAATGCTTTTATAATGTTATAACATTATTTTATCTTATCTATTTTTATACAAAGAAGTTATTAAAAATTAAAATAATAATATTCTAACAAACTTTATGCAGGTCCGTATATGAGCATGTATTTTGATCTACAGTTTCTTTACCCGATATTTAGATTTCCTCGTGTTTAATTAACAAGACAATATCTGAGATGTCAATTGCCGGTTTCCTTACAGGGTGAACAAGAGTGTTTTTTTAGGAAAGTAACTATACAAGTAAATTTTAACTCAACACGATGTTCATTTCGTGTGAATAGAAACTGCAATTACTTCTATAACTCGATACGTATTTTTACAGGTAGACAACCACCCTGATTAGGTGACATTAAGTTTAAAAAGAGACATACATGCTTGTTGACGCTGTGTTGTGATAAGGATGATTCTTGGTTTCCCCCTTATTGATGAGACTTCACTGTCGAGCATATAAACACGAGTCGTTATCTTTATTTAGTGTGACTACCCGGTGACACTGTGATTACACACGCCTATACTTTGTTCATATGTCTGTGCTGACAATAAGCTATACTTCCAAGGTCATTTACGTTGGGTGCATGTCTTTTATTACATTATTTAATGTAAGGTCCTCTTCGATATATTGAAAGAAGTTATAAACATTTTTTTTGTTATAACATAAAAGTGAAATGTGTTGAAACTTGAAAAAGTCACAAATCTCATGTGATTTATTGGTATACTTTTGTAAATAAATAAAAAGAGAGATGTATGTACATTGTACTTAAATCCTTTTTTTCGTTTTCATTGCTCTATAACAACACATAGCTAAGATACTCTCATAAATATATTTATCAACTGTATGTAAGTATGTTTTATAAGAATAAGACACGTACTCATTAATCAAGTGTTCGGATAACTCATAATAAAGAAGTAATAAAAGCTATATGTTTGTAGTTTACCTTAAGGTTGCCTTGTGTGAAGGTTCTGTGCTGTCCGGTGGTCAACTCTTGGTTCTAGTCCACCGTCCTAGAGACATAACGTCTTATTGATTTCGTTTGTTCTTCCATTATTCCATTTCTATATCAATTAGCAGGACTTTTTTGCCCGAAGCATTTTGACTTCATAAATTTCAATATGGTATTTCGTCTGCTTCCGGTTTATGCCTTTAGCGATATCGCTAGGTAAAGGTCAGCGTGTGACGTGTCTTGCTGATAACAATGTTTGTCGAACTCCCATACCTGGTAACACTACCAGGTGGGTAATCAGTAAGCCCTGTTTAACTCGACCAGGTAGGACTTAGTTGTGTTCCGGCCTTACATACGGCCATTGTCTTAGTATCATCACACGTACTTACACGCGCACGTGAACTGTAACAGGTGTGTAAGATCAAGAACAATATTCGGTCCAATGAACATGTCAATTTTCCGTATCTACTAGGTAAGCAATTAGTGTTTAAAAAGTCTTAGTTAAAATATAATTACTATCTTTGTTAAAATGATTAAACTTTTATAATTTTCAAGTAGTCATTTCACTCCATTGACGACATTATCGATTTAGTAAGAGGAAAAGAGGAAAACCTCGTCCTATTGTGGCCCGGTTCCTTTATCAGAACCAACATAGTTTGGTGCTGTCCCGTACACATATGCTACATTAAATATTGTACGCATTACGGCGTGAACGAGCAGTTCCCTGCAGCCGTGGAAGAAGTCCTGTGGCAAAGCGACTGAGGAAGCGAAGGCACAAGGTCAAGTTTGTGAGAGATAAAATTTACGTCGATGGGGTCTTGTTCACTGGAGAGGAGAATGACGTACAAAGTAATACGGTCCCGGAGAACAGACCAACACACTATAATGGTAGGCCAGCTAAACGGCAGCGACAACCCTCAACACCTAAGGATGACAGTCATAGTAACTCAGGCGTGAGTAGCTCATTTGAGAACGTGTCTACTTCAAACAGGTTTCAGGCGTTAACATCTCAGGGTAGCAATCGGGCTGTCGCGTCTGCTTGGGCCCTTCCCGGAAACGGTAGGAGGGGGCAGTGTGATCGTGTAAATGGCGGTCAGGCACAGCGTACGTCACTTCCGACACCCACGGGATCTGGGTCTGAGGAGACTAACGTCAAATCGGTGCTGTAGGGGTCTTCGGAGGTCAATCACACTCTTCATATTTGTAGCTGGAACGTTCAGAGGGGTTTGAAAAGTAAGATCGAGAATAGCTCATTTTGTGAATCATTTAGTGAGGCAGATATTGTATGCCTTTCGGAATGCTGGTTGGACGACGCGGACGATTTCGCGGTGAATGGTTTTGAGCATTTTCAACCTGTCCTCAGATCCAAGTGTAAAGGAGGCGGTCTAGTGTGTTTATTCAAACCATGGTTGCGTGGTTTTATTTCTCTACAATCCGTACAATTGGACAGTATTTTATGGATAAAAATCGACAGCAAGCTTTTCCCTGATAATAAAGATGTCTTTATAGCTCTAACCTATTTACCGCCAGTAAGATCAGTTTTCTACGGCGCATATGAAGAGGACTTCTTTCAACTACTAGAGAACGGTATAGGTCATTATAGTGCCTTAGGTAGAGTATTTGTAATAGGGGACCTTAACTGTCGGACTGGTAGAGAACCAGATTATATATCGATCGACTCGTTACACGAAAGTGTCCATCGTCAACTTGATGGTTTTATGTCTTATCCTCAGGAGCCATGTGACGTAACGCGTAACTCAGAGGACCTACAAATTAACACTTTTGGGCGTAGTTGCTACAGTTGTGTAAGTCAACGGGAATTCAGATTCTTAACGGTCGTACTATAGGTGATCCAGATGGTAAAATAACGTTTTGTAATTCAAATGGTACAAGTGTAATAAATTATGTACTAGCTGATAAGTTGTCGATGGCAAATGTCAAATCTTTTGAAGTTGGTCGTTTTAATGAATATTCTGATCATGCACCTATATACAGATGTATGTAGTTTTAAACACAAGAACAATTGATGTCTTTAAGTTTTTAGGAAATAGGGAAACTAATATTATTCTCTGTCAGTTGAGAAATGAGGCCAGTAACCTAAATAATGACCATCAGAAAAAAAATACACTGAGGATCGTATTGTACTTTTTCAGAATATATTCCATGAAACTCACAACCATTTATCATTAGATGTCATGCTAAATGTTTGTGAGAGATATGATGAAAATGTAAACAAACATATTCTCCTATCTATATCCAATTACATTTTAAGTTCTAGAAGATTAAGGACAATTAACTTCAATTTTGAATGAAATTTTACATTTTATTTATTTACACTTTATTTATTTATTTACATTTTATTTTTTCTCTATGTAATTCTTTTGATTTCCAGAAATGGTACATGAATATTAATATTAATATTTCCTATTTGTCTTCATTGTTTATTTTTAAATACTGTTAGTGAGGGGGGCTGGGGTTCAGAAGACCAGTTATACTATTTTATTAAAAAATATTGGGAAACAACTACATAAATAAGAATATAAAGCTTTACAACATGTTAATTATATATCTAACCTGTGGTTAATATGCATGAATTAAACTATTTGGTGGAATTGAATTTCCAAATTCATCAGTGGATGACCTTGTGTAAAACAATGGAATTTTTGGCCTGTATCTATTGGGTGCGGTTATTTTATCCCATCAAATGTTTATACATGCAGCTCCACCAACAAATTATTTTTCTTTTCTCTTCATAATATGTATAAATATATATATATATTTTATATGTCTGTATCAAAATAAAAGGTTAGAATTTAAACAATTAGATTCAGTTATAATAAAAATGAGTATTAGTAGTTGTTTCCCCTAATTTGATGATTAATTTGATAATACCAACTTGTTTATATGTGTTTGTATGTGTTCTAATATTTATGTCTATTCTATGCTTGTACCACTGTCTGTTACTATGTTTAGAAAGGGCTTAAATAGGCTATGCCTGCTGCCCAATTCATTTGTCCTTTGACAATAAAATTTATTGAAATTGGAAGAGGAGGAGGAGAGAGGGGAGAGGGGGTAAGATGAGGAGGAGAAGAGAGGGNATTCATTTGTCCTTTGACAATAAAATTTATTGAAATTGGAAGAGGAGGAGGAGAGAGGGGAGAGGGGGTAGGAGAAGGAGGAGGAGAGAGGGGAGAGGGGGTAAGAGTAGGAGGAGGTGAGAGGGGAGAGGGGGTAAGAGGAGGAGAGAGGGGAGAGGGGGTAAGAGGAGGAGGAGAGAGGGGGAAAGGGGGTAAGAGGAGGAGGAGGAGAGAGGAGGTTAGAGAGTTCGATTTGTTTTAAATTACTGGATAATTACTGCAACAATACAATAAATTTCAGAAAATACGTATCAGATCACGTGGTTGTTCCATCTCCATGCGAACGGACTAGTTATACTATTCGCTGTTCACTACTTTCTACTGATCAAATGTTCATTACATCCCATGCTATTATATGTTCTTCCTGATCACCCCGCTCTTGCTGGTATTTCCGTTTCAACTAGTCCGTTCGCACAGAGAAAGACCAAACACACGGCTTTGTTGTTTTTATATATTCTTATATCTGTATGTTGCAACTCGTGTTGTCAATCTATAAGTAGATGTCGATTTTGAGGGATTTTTTTAAAAAATCTGTTCGAGTCATGCATAAATTGCTGAGTATGCATGAATATAATTTTGTTTTCTTTTTCCGAAATTGTTATATCTCCAAAAAGAAGTAGATTCAATGTAAGGGGGATGTATTCATTCAGTTCACGATAAAGTTTAATTCTCTGTTCAACATACTTATCACAGTTAAATCAAAGTGCTGAGTGCACTCAGGGATGCTGTGTATGAAGGATTCAAATAATGGAATAACGGAGGTGGTATTTCAGTACAGAATGGCAGTAAATAATAAAGAACATGTTGTCCAGTAAGGGTCATAATAGCCGATCCCTTTACCATAATTTTCAATAAAAATATATATAACAAGCACAGTATTGCTAAAACAATATAGGTCCCTTACTGGCTACCGTTAGCAGTATGAAAATATGTAACGATGACCTTGACCAAACCCTGAAATTGAAACGTGTCTTATATTATGGTCCTTATTTAGTGTTTCAAATCGATGGAAATCTTTCAAGGAATGAAGCTGCTACAGCGCAGACAATGATCTTTTTTAAGAATAGTAACAGTGATCTTGACCAGACAACACTGCAAACCAAAATTGTCCCGTACGATTATGGGAAAGTTTACGGTTAAATAAAAAAAAAAAAAAAAAAAATGTTATATAAATAAATTGTCTTATACAGATATATTTTACAATATTATAGCATTGACCATATCATGAAATAATGAACACATTATCTAAAGATCTTTCGCGGAAGGAGATAAGTGTTGTTGGTTTTTTTGTATGAAGAAATTACTCGGTCCAAAAAGCGTAGTAATCTGAGATTGATATAGTTCATGATGCTCACTGAAAAAACTCGCCTTTTGGTAAAATTTCAATATTTTTTCTTTGATTTATTGATCGTTTTCATATGTATTTCATCATTTTATACCATTAATCATACCATGAAATAATCAACACAGCATTTAAAGATCTTCCGCGGAAGAAGAAAGTCTGTTGTTTGTTTGTGATTTGCCCAGGCTTGGCGGGGACCGCCATGAATGCTGTACACAGCGTCCAAAAAGAAATGGAACGTGTCTTCAATAGGGTAGCCACATCTACAATGTTGGTCATCAACCAGGTTAACTCGAAATTGATCGTTTTTCAAAGTGCTAGTACTGTTTCTTAGTTTTGTATGTAAGATGTTATTTTTTCTACCGCCGTAGAAAAAGTTATTGGGTACACGAGGCAAATGTTTGTCTCTAATGGCAGTTTTAAAGGATGAAAAAGAGGAGCTATGCCTAATACTTAAAGTTAATTGATTCCAGAGCCTAATAGTAGAAGGAAAGTAAGACATGTTACATGTAGATAACTCTAGTCTGTTGTTAGGCAGGTTGTAGTTTTCGGTGTTTCTAAGATTGTATTGAGCATTTTCGACAAGGGGAGGGAGTAGAGTGTTTAGATAGTTAGAAGTAATATCATAATGAATTTTATAAAATAATTACTGTTTCCGACGGGACCTCCGAAGGGCTAGGGATTCCCATCCCGTTTCAGTATATATAGATTACCTACTAGC